AGGCCCCAAGAGAAAAGCCGAGATGGCTTCCAGGTTTCAATGGTCTTACCTCTCAACCCTGCTTGAAGGATCAGAGGGCATCGTGAGTAAGGTTACAAGTACCATTACTATTCTTCACGTTCCATATGTTGGTGTCATCAATACAAAAGTATCGCAGTTCTATCAACCCAAAACCCTAAAACCCAAAGCGCCTCAACCCTAAACCCCGAAAACGCGGTAAACTTACTCAGCCGCCCCCTGAGAGCGAGTCTTCAGCACCCCCAAAAGCGCCCAGGCACCCTAAACCCTAAACCCTAAACCCTAAACAACCCTAAACCCTAAACAACCCTAAACCCTTTTTTCAGTGACCAGGCACATGGACAAGGTCTGCCAAACAGTCCGGGCATGGTCGTACCTGCAGCAAGGGTGAAGAGGAGGTCGGAGGCCTGGAACCTTACCTTGGGTATAGGGTTTAGGGTTTAGGGTTTAGGGTTTAGGGTTCAGGGTTTTTTTTCTACATGCAGTAGCCCTTTCTCTCCGCAGAGTGTCCAAGAGCTCGCTCAACGAGCGTGCACTGTCAACTAGCAAAACAAAAACCCTCTCAGGTGCGGATCTCACCAGCGCATGTAGCCCTCACTCACCTGGATCTCCATCATGCGTCGCGGCTTCGGCTGCGTGGGTATCATGCACGCCGCGTCGCATGTCATCCGTTGAGGTAGAAGAGGGTCTTGTAGGCGGGGGCCCAGTTGCCGTAGACACCGCGGTGGTGGTCGAATTGGTCGAAGAGGGTGGTGCCAACGAGGTCGATGTAGCCAGGTTGGAAGCCAGCAGGTGAGGCGGAGCCACGTACTGTTGCCCTCTCCGTCTGTACGCTCTCCCTCGAAGACGGCGCTGGCGGTATGGTCTTTCAGGCGGCTGGAAGGTAGGAGGGAAGTTCGTGACGGGCGTGCTGCCATCCATTTGGATGAGGCTGAGATCCCTATCGTCTTCAGCTGGCCATCGACCTTCCGGTGTTTCTCGGCCAGCGTTGTCATAAAGCCTTCGCACATGTGCACGCCACCTCATTAGATGTTACTGGAAATATTAATATGGCGACAATAAATGCTACTGGTAATGTAGATGTTGCTTCATTAGATGTTGCTGGAAATATTAACACAGCGACAATAAATGCTACTGGTAATGTAGATGTTGCTTCATTAGATGTTACTGGAAATATTACAGCGACAATAAATGCTACTGGTAATGTAGATGTTGCTTCATTAGATGTTACTGGAAATATTAATACAGCGACAATAAATGCTACTGGTAATGTAGATGTTGCTTCATTAGATGTTACTGGGAATATTAATACAGCGACAATAAATGCTACTGGTAATGTAGATGTTGCTTCATTAGATGTTACTGGAAATATTAATACGGCAACAATAAATGCTACTGGTAATGTAGATGTTGCTTCATTGGATGTTACCAATAAAGCAACAGTTGGTTCATTAGAAACAACTGGAAACATTAGTGTAGGAACATTAACAGTTAATCAAATAAATTTTACAGATGCTACAACACAAAATAGTGCTAGTTCCAAGACATCTGTTTCTACCGCTAAAGATATATTATTAAATAGAATTAAACATTTTATTTATCTAAAAGAAAATTTAGGAAATTATACAGTAGAAACAAAAAAGTTAAATCCATTCGGCGATCAATCAAATGTAGTAGCTGATTTTTATACAGCCAACATTACGTCACCTGGACTTTCAAGTGGAAAATATATTAATGCTGTTAATAATAATAGCAATAGTGTTCATAGTGATTATGTTAAATTTGAAAATGATACATATTGGTTTAGACCAGACCCAGCAATAAGTTATAATTATCCATCAAATATTTATCATACTTTTGAAAATAATTTTACATGGTTACAAATACAAAATATAGATTCAAGACATTATCTAAATACAGGTTTTACCATATTGATGTATGTTCATAATGCTAATTATGATAAAGAAAAATATTACTATGTATAAATATCATAGATTCATTGTATTCGTTTTATAATGTAGATAATAGTAATCTTAGAAATGGTTTATCTAATTTAGAAGATTTTTATACATATCAGAAAAATGATTATAATAATAATAAAACTAATCAACTATATAATTTGGT